TGAAATATGCATTAATCACCATTAATTTTCTAAGATTAAATCTGGACCCTAGGAAAATAACATGGTTTATGTTCTAAAAAATGAAGTACTTTACCAAATTATCCTTCGATTATTTTTTTATTAAATTAATATAAAATTGATTAACATTGAATTGTCTAATTTACCCCCTACTATATTTTAATTAAATAATTAATTTAAATTCATTGTGACCGAGTTTTATTTGATAAATAATCAAAAAAAATGCATTCATTAGGGATAGAACTCGTGACCTCTTAATATATTTATCACTCCTAACCATCCAAGCACATTAACTTATTATAATATATTTAACCATAATTGTATAAATACTGTTAATTCAAATATTAATTGCAACATTCATTATTTTTAAATGGTATTAAATAAATTATTAACAAATTTAATAAAATAAAGTTTGAAAACTATAAAGAATTGCAGTTCAATAGGCCAAACATCTATCATTAATTATATAATATTAGAAGTATTAATAAACTCCACCATTTAAAAATGTAAAGAATGTTCAATTAAATATAAAAAAATGCATAACTTAATTCAAACTCATTTATGTTATTTAATCGATAGTGTGACAAATCCAAATAAAAAAATAAAATAATATATTTATTTAGAAGAAGAAAAAATTATAACTCATTCCAATTAGTAGTTTTCTTAGTTTAAAATAAAATTATATACTACAAATACTATGATGTGAATTTTCTTTTAATATTTAATTTAATCAATTAGTAAGATTTGAATCGATGAAGTACAAATCCTTTCAATTAGTAAACATTATTCAAATATTTGAATCGGTTGCTTAACTATTGACATAACATGTTACATAATTGATTTAACTATTTATACGTAATGTCTAATATCTTTTTAATTCAATTTTGTCATAAAAAATAATAAATTTAATTCCTAACACATGTAAGAACCTAATCGTAAATCATAATATTTTATCAAAGCGTAATATTTGAACCAATTAAGCTCAAGTCCTTTCAATTCGTAAACATTATTCAAATATTTGAATCGATTCATTAGCGCGCTCAACTATTGACAAGAACGTCTTAATCAAATTAACTATTATTAATTAAAGTGTGATACATGTTTAATTCAATTTTATCATAAAAAAATAATTCCTACATTACGCAAGAATCAAATCATAAGATTAATTAAAGCGTATGATTTGAATCAATTAAGCGCAAATCCTTTTAATTTGTAAATATTATTCAAAAATTTGAATCGATTAAGTTCAACCACTAACAAGAACGTGTTAATCGAGTTAACTATTTATAATTAAAGTCTACTATCCTTTTAATTCAATTTTAACAACAAAATAATAATTTAATTCGTAAAATCGTAAGAATTAGATCGTAAATCGTAAGATTTAATCTAACCATGAACCGATTAAATCTTACGATTTTTATGAATTAAATTTTATTATTTTTTATGATAAAATTCAATAAAAAAAGGTTACTAAACTTTAACTATACACAGATTGATTAATACGCTATTGTAAATTATTGAGTTTAACCGATTCAAATATTTGAATATTGTCTACGAATTGAAATGAGTTGAGCTTAATCGATCAAATCTTTGAATGTTGTTTTTGAATTGAAAACACATGAGTTTAATTGATGCAAATATTACGATTTAATTAAATCTTACAATTTACGATTCAATTCAAACTTCAAATTCTTTCGAAATTCATTTTTAAATTACACGAGTTGAACAACATTTCCTTAGATTTTTAAATTATATTATATAAAGATTTGTTAGTATGAGATATTTTTAATATATAATAATAATTATTATATGAGAATTAATAATTTATTTAACATTATTTATATAAGTTTTATAACCATTATAAATTGTAGCTTTGTGATATATATCCGTATTGTTAGTTTATTGTCAATTATGTGTTGTGTCTTAATGGTAAGTATTCTTGTATGTTTTTAGATGGTCACAAGTTCGAATTCAGGTTGATGCAATTTTGAATGGGTGGTTTAATGATTTTTACGAATAATGATATAATTTACGTTATAAATTTTAATTCAGCAATAAATATATATTTAGGGGCTATTTGTCAAACACCCTTTGTTGAATTTCCACTTCAATATAAATCCATTTTACTAATTCATATTTGACAAAATCCCATTTGACTCAAATTATCTTAAATGCCCTTATCATACTCTCTCTCCAAAGCCCTTATCATACTCTCTCTCCAAAATAACTCTTAAAATTTGTCACGTTATTTCAAGTGTTCTTTTTTTTCTAGAAAAAATATGATTTTTTTAATTTCAATTTTAAAACAAAATATTAATTTTATTTTATTTCAGTTTTTTTATTTTGTTTTATTTTGTTTTTTCCACCGAATTTTACATAATATGGTTTTTAAGCCCAATGTTATTTTAATTTTTTTTATTTCAATTTCTATTTTATTTTTTTTCACCCGGATTACAAAAATTAAAATCCACAATATAGTCATCAAAAACCACTACAAATTTATTGAAAACCACTATAAACTTACCGTAAAATTTACTATAAAATTAGCAAAAATTAAAATCCACTATATATTCATCGAAAACCACTATAAATATATCGAAAACCATATAAAATTACCGCGAAATTACTATAAAATTAACGTAATTCAATTTAATATTAACATAATCCACAACAAATTTATCGAAATCCACTAAAAACATACGTAATCCACTACTTACACAGCTCAATAAATAAATAAAAACCAAAAAAAAAATCATAAATTCACTATTTGTAAATCCACTATTTGAAAATCCACTACTTGAAAATCCACTACTATGTCCAAGAAAAAAGTGCAAGAACAATTACGAAAAATTAACGTAATCCACTTTAATAATAACATAATCAACAACAAACTTATCGAAATCCACTAAAAACATACGTAATCCACTACTAACAGAACTAAATAAAACATAAATTCACTGTTCGAAAATCCACTATTTGAAACATAAGCCACTACTATGTCCAGGAAAAAGTCCAAGATCAGTACACCACCACCAATAAGGCCGACGAGGGTCACCCTATAAATCTGAACAAGAAAAAATATTAATCAACAAATGAAAAGCAATTTCCAAAAGCAAAGCTTTTTATTAACTGAAATTCTTGTAAATCAGATATAATTTTCTCAAAAGTAAAATAAAAATATTATATCAAAGATTAATTAGTAATTACCCCTTTTAAAATTTAATTAGCCATTAAGAAAAATGTCGCCCTTCCTCTACCCGATAAAAAGAGACCCAAAAAAAATTATAAAAAAGAATCAGAAAAAGAAAGAAACAAAGAGAATTGTTTGCGGCAACAATTGTTTGAAAAATGGCAGAATTAGAAACAAGAATCAAAGGAAAGCCATTAGAAAAATATTAATTTATAAAAATTAATAGCCTTTTTCACAATATTGTTATCGAATAGAGATTGTCCCCCACAAACTCTAAAACCATTGAAAGATGATTGAAACAAAAAGAAATTACCTTTTTCTACCACCGCATAGATATTGCTCGGGGATGATAAAGAGAGAGGAAATAGGGATGGGGGTTGGGCGGCACCGGGTGGGGATGGACCGGCGCCGGTGGTGGAGGATGGGGCGGCGACGATGGGGAGAGAAGAAACAGGCGAGAGAAAAAAGAAATAAATTTTTATTTATGTTAAATAACGAGATTTGTGCGTGTGATTGAGAACGTGATATTAAAGGAGCAGATATTACGCATATTTATATTCAACCCTAAGATACGTCATAATAAGGTAAGGGTATAATTGTGATACTTAATTAATTTTTATTAATAAAAAATATTTTGGATTTATCTTAAAAATAAGAAATAAATTTGGGCTCATTGTAATTGCACTTATGTGATGAGGGGGTTTTGTCAAATTTTCCCAAAAATAATATATTTAACACAACCAATCCCTTCCAACATGCACATTGGTGGTTATATATATTTATATTAATTTAGTTTTTTGAAGTTGTTTGGAATTTAGTTTTTCGAATTTAGTTTTTTATTAAGAAATATTATTTTTTATTAGTAATAATATTATTTTGAATAATTTATTAAATGATCGTTACAATATGGTCGTTTGAATTTGCTAGTTGAAATATAGTTGTCAAAACTAATTTAAACTAAAGTTTTGTAAATAAATAAAATATGATAATTGTGTAAAATATAAACAACATTGTTGCATTGTAAAGTTAAAAGTGGTGATATATAACACTGTTCATCTCTTAATTATAATAGTCTATAAATATAGACAACCGATTTTTTAAATTGTTGGAGATGTCCTTACGCTATCATGTATTCATGTCTTCCTTTCTTCAGCAATGCAAAAGCATTTAAACAGAAAATACAAAAGTACCCTTTCATCAACAGAATATAAAAAAACAAAACAAAATTGACTTAACGAAGTATTCTGGCATTATCGGAAGACCTGAAAGACTTTTATTTTTCACATGTTTGTAGTTTGGGTCCCACAAAACTGTTAATATTATGGGCTTCATTTCATTTCATTACTAGTTTTGCTTTTTCTTTATCTTTGCCTTGTTACTTTAAAAGGACGAAAAATAATTTTCATTGAATTCCCTGAAAAAAATTCATTTGATGGATATGCGAAAACATGACACAGTACTTTCAATTCGTTTTTAAGTTTCAATGGTGCTGGAAATTACCTTGGGTACCGTTTGTTTTCCTTTTCCTTTTTTTCTTTGCAGAAAAATTTACTTTTGCTTACTGTTTTGTCCTCTCTTATGAAAATTTATATGAATTTTATTAAGGTAATATTTTATAATATATATATGAAGATGAAATTATTATGGGCAACATAAATGATTAATAAAGAAACTGGGAAAAAAATGTATGGGCAGCAAAATAGTAATCATACATCCTTTCACTCAATTCAATTCAAATTTTCTTTTTTTTGTTAAATGGCCCTAGGAATCCAGCTACGTCAGCTCATGGTCTTCAAAGGGCATCAAACACGGCGTCAGCTCGGCAAATCGGGCAATTGTGACTGGTCCTAAGCCATGTCACGATACAAGCACGGTGAAAAGTATGAGAACAGCACAGCCTGGCTAATTCGCCGCCGCCGTCGAACAAGCTTTCCAAGCAGATGACACAAGAAGTCAACGGATAACTGGTGACCTCTAAATACCATCGGAGAAATCTTTCTGCTCCTTCATCTCTTTCTTCTCTTCCACCTCCTTCTCCTCTTCCACCTCTTCCTCCTATTCCACCTCTTCCTCCTCTTCCACCTCCTTCTCCTCTTCCACCTCTTCCTCCTCTTCCACCTCCTCCTCTTCCACCTCTTCCTCCTATTCCACCTCTTCCTCCTCTTCCACCTCCTTCTCCTCTTCCACCTCTTCCTCCTCTTCCACCTTCTCCTCTTCCACCTCCTTCTCCTCTTCCACCTCCTTCTCCTCTTCCACCTCCTTCTCCTCTTCCACCTCTTCCTCCATTTGTCATGCCTCCTCTCATTCTTTCGCCTCTTTCTTCGTTGTTTCCTCCATTTGCTGTCCCTTCTGATCTCATTCTTTCGCCTCTCTCTTCGTTTCCTCCGTTTGTTGTCCCTCCTCTTATTCTTTCGCCTCTTTCTTCATTTCGTATGTTTGTTAATTCTCCTCTTATTCTTTCGCCACTTGCTTCTCCTCTTCCACGTCTTCCACGTCTTCTTTCATTGTGGTGCTTTGCAGAAAGGAGGGCAAGGCAAAATGTCATTGAAATAAGGAAGACAACATCACTTCTCTCTTTGTTCATTTTGACAAATCTAGCTGATACTACAATGCTTATAGAGAGTAAAGCATCGTAAAGCCCTTGTTTGGCTAAAACACGTCCAATGTAAAATACATGTATAACACGAATCAAAATCAAAACAGCAGTAGAGAGAGGTATGAGATCCAGGAGAAGTTCACACAAGCATGCACAGTGAAATAACACGGTCACATACATTATACAGTTCATCAACTGTAGAGCACTAAGAGGATGTAGAATGACCTTTCCTACCGAATAGAGGATTATCAGATAGCATACGGGCAAAATTCCTTCGGATATCCACTTGAAGTCTGTTGCAATCAAGTGAAAAAAAATAATATTAGCATTGTTCATATTGGATAAATAGGAAGTGTTTTTTTGATTGTTATGGAAATTCCACCTCTCATTGCATATATGTCAAATAGGAAGTGGTTTTGTGATTGTTATGTGAATATTAAAAAGCATTTGTACTGTACTATTTAAGTTGGCTATGAATTATATATGTCTGTGATTACATGAATTTATCCTCAGACATTGTGTTCGAAAACTTTATATATGCTAAAATGTTCAACTTTTCTTCAGTATTGTATTTATGGTTCAAGCTCTCCTTTGGAAATGGGCTTTTCTTTTTTTGCAAAATAGTAAGAGAAACTTACTTGCAACAATATTCCGAACATCATTCATTTTCAAAGACTGGCGCGATAGAAATCCCCGCGGAGACGGTTTCAATATACGGTGGCCGTCCTGCGGAGTTTAAGTAGGAGATGGGTTTGCTGGTATTCTACGGGTTTCGTTTGTTGAAGGAGATGGGTTTTGCAGATAAATTAGGTAAAGAAGATAGAGGTACAACTGTAGAGAGTGAGAAGAGATTGGGAGGACGAAAGAATATATAGAAGAGAGAGGAGACTGGAGAGATCGATCGAGGAGAGAGAGAAATAGAGAGGAAAAAGCGGTGTGGCTGCTGGGTGGGGCTTTTGAGGTGAATATATTAAACGGTAGATTTATACAAATTACTAGGTTCTAAATATCGGTTATTGGGTCTCAGGCGGTTAGAGACCGCCAATCAATAAATCGAATGCGGCGGTGATTCATCGAAGATGTATCGGAAATAAATCGGTTTTTAGATTTAGTGTAATATATTTCTAAATATTATTTGTTAATACTTAAAACATATAAAAACAATTAAACTTGGTTCTTTCATCATCGTTTATATAATTTAATCACATAACAAAAGTTTAACATTTAGATCGTGATTCTCTCCTCATCGTTCTAAATGTTTTTAGGCCATGTTCTTCTTACGGAGTCGGTGAGTTTGGGTTTGATTGAAAGAGATAATGGGTTGGAATTGAAAAAAATAAAAATAAAAATAAAGATAAACACCCCTATTTTCCTTGTAATAAAAAATAAATTAAAAAATTAAAAAAAAAATCCGATATATCGCTTTAAGTTTGACCCGCCACAAACCGCATCACCGTCAAAAAGCCGATTTTCAAAACCGCCACACAAATATCGTAAAGGTTTATGTCCGCCATCGATATGGCGACCGATATATCGACCGCCACAACCGATATTTAGAACACTATAAATTAGTACTTTGTTCTGTGCGTTTCTACGGTGCGTTGCACGGGCAATTATTAAAAAAAATATAATATAAGCAAAATCAATAAACATATATGACATGTAGAATAATAAATCGATATAACAATTATGAAATTTCACTAATTGCAATCATAATTTATATATCCATTTTAAAATAAAATTCAATATACATATATCTCTATATTAAGGAAAAATTTACTTGCTAGTCTTTGTGGCGTTAGAGCAACTCCAACAGCTATTCTAAAATTTGCAACTTCTTATTAAATTATACACAATAAACAATGTTTTAACACATCAATTTTTATACTCACTTCAACAGTGTTTTTTTTATATTTTAACACATCAACTAACTCTAACAATAATTTTATAATAATAAAGAAATATTGTATTTTATTATATCTATACATAACAAGAAAATGTTGGTGGGAAGTTGATGTGCTTTGATGATGTGCATTAAATCTTCCATGTTTTTGTACTTTGTCTATTAAAAAGTTAATTATACTATACAAGCTTGGCTTGTCAAATCTAGAAAGTCAAATCCATTACTTAATAAGTGTGCTAATTTTCAGAATAGCTGTTGGAGCTCTTTTCTTTTTATAAAAGTTATAAAATTTGCTAAAATTAAGCATATAGCACATCTTTCGAAAATGCTCTTACAATTTCAACTTTTAGAGGTTGATCTTATAATAGTGTACAGTAAATAATATCTCAACAATAAAATATATGAGGTAAACAATTGAAAAACATATCAAATGTAGTGACCAAAAAATCTAACCTAACATAATGGGACCAATTCATTGTCTTAATTTATAAAAATAATTTCTCCTAAATTGTTAACTCAAAAGTAGAGAAATTTAAACACAAAGCTCATTCATGTCTCTAAATTGATAATGGGCACAATGCTTCTTACATCGATTTCTTATGAGAGTGAAGCCCAAAAATCAATATATCAAGATATTTGAACTTTTGAAGAATAACAATTTAAAGTCTTATTCTAAATAATACATTTAATTTCTATCAACAAGGCATTTAAAAATATTACTAATGTCCTACAATTCTAATTCTATTTTATTTATTTATTTATTTATTTATTTATTTATTTATTTATTTATTTAATAGATATTAATCTTATGGAAATTAGGAATTTTAAATTATTTTGAAAATTAAAATTGAATCAAAATTAGAAATTATATACATTTTTTACTTGGATACAAAACATATAAAATAAATCAATCAGTTATGTTTTAAAGATATGTACAAGTTGAAATAATTAAATAATGTTAAGTAAGAAAACAAATCATAAAGAATAATGAAAATTCCTTGGAAAGTGTAAAATATGGGGATATATTGATTCTTTTTGGCTAAAATATCACTAGAGATTGAGAGAGGGTGCATTTTGTCATGAGATGTATATTTTAAGGGTGGGCTTTGCCAATTATAAGAATCTTGGTAAAGTATATAATTTTCTCTATATAGGTATATTACACTGCAAAATTCAATTTTATGGATTATGTTTAAATTCTTGTAAATGTGCATGTTATATAATATGCTACTTGGTAAAGGAAAGAAAAGTCCAATTGTCCATGTGTAGTCTAGCTTTAATCCGTCAACGTAGGAGCATGCCAGCCAAGTAACACTAAAATGGCAAAAAGCATAAAACAATAAAGGCTGAAAGAAAAAGGCAAAAGCATCCTTCTTGTTCTTGCTCACAACATTAGTTAACAAAAGACAAAATCTGAAACCTTCAATGTGTATGTGGGGAAGGTTTGCAAATAACCTTTACAAACTATCTGCGAAATTAATGGCACAAGAATCATAAATCGGATACTATTTGAATAGCAATTGATTTTCTGTTACCTTTTTTTCTTTTTTTTCTTTTCACTTTTGTGGTTAATTTTGAAGTGTATTAATTGGAATTGCAGAAAAGGGATTACATTATTCAAAGCTCCAAAAGTGAGCTCTGGTTCATTACAAAATAGGAGTTGCAAAAATATGGATATCAAAGCCTTACAGGAATTCAAATAAACGATGAAAGGGAAGCTAGGGTTTCCTACTTCTAACTAAACTACCCTATAGCTTACATAAAAAACAGTAAACGCTAAACGAAAAAACAAAACCATTTTCTTTCTTTTTCTTCTTCATCTTTTGGGTCGGATCAATTTCAAAATTTCCCGCCAATTGTGACCAATTGTGCCTAGAAGAAAGAATCTATCTCAGCGTTCATTGTTTATAAAATAATTTGGATTCATTGTTTATAAAATTAAAAAACAATGCTACACGTTATGTTAAAATAAAATTGCAACTGTGTGTGTTTATTGTAGGATAATAGATTGACTTTGCCACAAGTTAATATTAATAAAAATAAAAAAGAAATGAAAATTAGCTATAAGTTGATGTATTTCCTGAGAAATCAGGGTCCCTAGGCGAGATTTAAGAAAAAACTTAAAATCGGGACCCCTATTTGATAAATCAATTTTATTAAAGGGTGTTCAAAATTAAATATACTAAAAACATATAAATAATATTTTCTAAAAATTATGAAATAAAGATTATGAATGGAACATAAAGTGTAAAATTTATATTTTTATAAACGAACTTATATGTTAAATATATTGACCACATTTGATTGGTGGTATTCTAGTAAGTAAATCCAAAGTATAATTCAAACTCATTAAAAAAATGTATAAGGATTTGAATGGATATATTAAAAAAAAAAAAGAAATATAATAGAATGGTAATTTAAAATATCTTTTGAAAGCAATAGAAATAAATAAGTAAATAAAAATGATAAAACGTCATTGAAATAAAATTTTATAATAATAAAAACGAAAAAAACAACACTTACAAAATATCATCAGCCAATTTTTTTCTTCTTTCATTTCTTGCTTACGGCGTCGGAGTGAGGTGAAGATGAAGATAAAAATGGGTGGACATTTTTGCTTTCGTGTTGGATGACAAATGTGGTTTTATACTTGTATTGAGTATGATAATTAAGTTAAATATGTATAAATAAGGAAATAACCATTTATTATATAAGTAACATAAATGCTAATATTCAAATTTGTAAGAAAAAATAAAAGATATGATTGGCCAAATCAAAGGAAATTCGAAATTTCCTTATTAAATATCAATATAAAATGTATTTTATAATTAACATAAATGTAACAAAGAAACCATTTTTTTGGAAATAGGTTAAATAATAAATAAGACAAAATGTAATAAGGACTAATTAAGGAAAGAAGTCCACAAATAAAAGAAATTAAAAGATTTGGGATCAAAATTGAAGATGTCAAAATTTCAATTGTGTATTCTCGGTTTAGATAGATTAGATAGATTGGCTTTTGGAGTAGATTAATAAAATTTTCAATAGAAGTAGATAGATAAATTTGATATGGTAAATAAAATTGAACCCAAGATAGGCTATTACTCGATACATTTGTTTCGCCATTTTGTTTATCAATAATCATTTTACATTTATGATGCCCATAATAATTTCACACTACCTTGATATATATTATAATATTACTTAGTAAAATTAATATTAATTTTAATAAAAGGGTAAGGAAAAGTAAAATTTTCTATCAAGAAAACAAGGAAAAAAAAAAATAAATTCAAAATTCTAATCCCATGCCGAAATTACAAGGCCTAATTTAATTTAGTCATGCGAAAATGCCAAGCCCTAGCTATAACACCACCCCGTGACTTTTCTCTCTCTCTGCCTCTCACAGACAAGTTACCCCCAAAATGGCCCGGCGTCATTGCTGTTTTCCGACACCCGGTCAAACAATACCAGAAATGGCCGATTTTATCACTACAAAACCCTCTTCCCTTCCCAACCAATTTATTCACAGATTTAATTACCATACCAATCCAAAGCATCCAAAGAAAAAGAGAAATGAGTTTTCCCGCTCAGCTTGTATTAGCCTCCCGACGAGCTTCTGTAAGAATCTTTTTTCTTCTCCTTCTTCATAATCTAATTTTAACTAAATACATTTACTTATAATTTTTTTTTTAGGAACTGTATGCATGGTGTTTCCCTATGACTCCGGAAAAGCGCCGGAGGCTTATTGCACTGTCATTCGGATGTGTGTTTTTAGCTGCTGCTTATGCCGTCATGGCTTCTACGCACAACAGCTTCAGCACTTATCTTCACATTTCTGGTCACGCTGTTGTAGTCGTTGTTGGAAGTCTTTACATAACTGTTCTGATTACTATGATTGGTGTTAACTATCTCCCTATAGCTAACGCCCCTCGCTATGTAAAATTTATCTTTGATGTCTTTTTTTTATTGGGATGCACTATCATTAGTCTGGGGCTCAAAGATTGGAAATCGCTGGTTGTCGGTTATTTATTCCTATTACATATTCTTCCCATGTCTCATGTTACTGGCCTATTCGAGAATCTCGGCCTGTATGACGCAATGCTCGGAATACTATTGGAAGCCACGTTGGACGAGTTATTGAAAATTCAAAACATGAATCATTACTTGGCAGTCTTCTTGGCTTCGCTGATTTGTATAGCAGCGCAAGCAGCCAAACATTACAGTGAGCATGTTTGGGAACAGCACATGGTCGAGCTCATCGATATACATTTGAGAGAGCAGCAGGAGACTAATCGTCCAAGAGAGCAGCAGGAGACTAATCGTCCACTGGGTACTACATTTCGGCCTAGGCCGCTTCGGTAGAGGAGGGTTAGACCCAAAAAAAAAAAGTTGGTCGGTTGTAGTTTCTATTTCTCAATTCCTTGTTTTTTCCTTTTTTTTTTTTTTTTTTTTTTCTATGTACTGTTTTAATTTTCTGCATCTGTTTTTTTTTTTAATGTCTTGTACTCTATTATCTTTAATGACCAACTTTTATTTTCTCCTTGTTTTGTTCTTTTCTCTGTGTATTTTATATTTTTGGTTTCGATCTGTAATTTTAACAACAGATTGAAA